ACTGTTATTAGCTACATGATTTCCCACCCTCCCTTTCTGTGCTCCCCAAGAAACCATTACTCCAGTTGCTGTCTGTATAGATTTACCTAGCTTGGATTTCATGTAAAGAAACCATAGGACCACTCCTCCAAACAGTAACAAAACATAAAAACCCAAACCAAGCAACAAGAGCAACAGCACAGTAAAATAGAGAAAATAAAACCTCAACCCAAAAAGCAGACAATATGAAAAAGTAGGACAAGTTTACAATGGATCAAAAAGGAGAGCAAATGATAGGTGTTAAACGTTCACCTGACAGCAACTGCAGTACTCCACCTTCCAGTGCTCTGCATGAGAGCAAAGCTGGTCACACCCCGGGCTGCGGTCAGGAGGCAAGGCGTGTTTGCCGCCGCTGCTGCTTCTGCCCCGCCTCTTCCCATGGGGTCCCAAAGCTCGATTCTGTCTTCTTGTGATGCTGTCCAGAGACATGACCTTACAGCCCGTCTGTATTCTGACAACTTCCAAGTTGCTCTTTCTAGTTCGGATCTCTCTCCTAAGCCACGGATTGCATATCCGATGACTCGCTTGCCATCTCCGGTGAAGTCCAATAGACAGCTGACACATAACTTGTCTGGAGTTGAACCTCTGATATGACCTCCAAACCGGTTCCACATAGACCTCTTGTTTCCATTTTCGTGATGACAGCTTTATCTTCTCTGTTCTTGGCAAAAAAAACCCCCCAAAACCCTTGGTGTCATTCCTTGCTTCACCACTTCTTTTCCAGCTCACTCTCAGGGGGTCTTATCCAGCACGGAGTCACCTCTCACAGCTCCCCCTCCGGTGAAGCGTCGCCCTTTCTCCCCACATTGTTTCAGTAGCCCCTAATTGGTCTCCTTGCTGCCACTCTTGGCCATCACCCCACTCCATTTCCCCGCAACCCAGCCCTCACAGTGAACCTTTTGAAATACAAGTTCCATCACTGTTCTGCTCAAGAACGTCTAGAGCAGTGATTCTCAACTTTCCTAATGCTGTGACCCTTGAATACAGTTCCTCGTGTGGTGGTGACCCCCCAACCATAAAATTATTTTCGTTGCTACTTCATCACTGTCATTTTGCTACTGTTATGAATTGGGCGACCCCTGTGAAAGGGTCATTCGACGCCCCCCCCAAGGGGTCGCGACCCACAGATTGAGAACCACTGCTCTAGTGGCTCCCTGTTCCACTCCGACTAAAAGTCCAAATGTTGAAAATGACCCAGAAGCCCTCTGTGAGCTTCTTTGATTTGGCTGCATGTCCCCAGGCTTCCGCTTCCTCTTGTCCCACCCCCTGCAGGAACACTGGTCTTCCTGCTGTTCCTTGACCAGGCCCAGCGCGCGCCTGCTTTTGCTCAGTTGTCACTTTCTGAAGGGGGCCTTCTTGGTTTAAAATGGCACCACCATGTAGAAAAGTTGCAGCCCATTCCCATCCCCACGCAGGCTTCCTGATGACGGTGTCATCCCCCTGTTGCTCGTCACTCACTTTGCTACATAGTTTCTCCCATTGCAGGTGCCACGTCTCACTTCTAACACTGCAGCAAGACTCGCAAAAGTCACAACCTGTGTAAGGTAGACGCCTGTCAAAGAAGGAAAACTCACATATTTTCAACTAAGAACGAGCACTTGACAAATGGTCAGGCTGCACCTTGTCAAAAGGAGACCACTTGTGAGAGCCAGAAAATTAAGGCAGTGCCGACAAGTTCCAGCTCTCACAGATTTCACTGTAGACATCGCTAATCCAATGTGTTTCTTTTCACTTGGTATTGTGTGTTTCCTCCATTAAAATATAAGCTCCACAGCGCAGGCGCTTTGTCTTTGCACTGATATACCCCAAAGGTCTCTAACAGCACTGACAGATGATGTTAGGGGCCATTGAATTGGCTCCGCCCCATAGTGACCCTGTGCACAACACCCAGTCCTGCACCATCCTCACAATTGTTCCTCTGCCTGGCCTCGTTGATGCAGTCACTGTGTCAATCCATCTTTCTGAGTGCCTTCCACTTTGCCAAACATGATGCCCTTCTCCAGGGACATGGTCTTGCCAGACAACATGTCCAAAGTATGTAAGGTGAAGTCTTGCCATCCTTGCCTCTAAGGAGCACTCTGGCCTTACTTCTTCCAATGCAGATTGGCTTGTCCTTTTAGCAGTCCGTGGTACTTTCAGTATTCTCCAGCACCATGATTCAAATACACTATTCTTCTATGGTCTTCCTTGTTCAACATCCAACTTTCACATGCAATACGATGCAATGGATCATACCATGGCTTGGGTCAGGCACACCTTAGGCCTTAAAGTACTATCCCTGCTTTTCAGTACTCTAAGGAGGTCTTGAGGCAGATGTACCTAGTGCAATACATCCTTTTGATCTTTTGACTGCTGCTTCCATGAGCATTGATTGTGGATCTAAGCAAGAAAAAAATCCAAAACTTAGCCTCCTTTTCCCCATTTATCATGTTGTTACCTAGTGGTCCTGCTGTGAGGATTTTGGGTTTCTTTACATTGACTTGTCATCCATACTGAAGGCTACAAGCCTTGATCGTCATCAGCAGGTACTTCAAGTCCTCCTCACTTTCAGCAAGGTTGAGTCATCTGCATATCGAAGGTTGTTAATAAGCCTTCCTCCCATCCTGATGCCACATTCTTCTTCAGTTAATCCAGCTTCATGCAGATTGAACAAGTATGGTGAGCGGATACAACCTTGACACACACCTTTCCTGATTTTAAACCCTTGTTCTGTTTGCACAACCGCCTCTTGATCCAGGTGCAAGTTCTGAAGGGACACAGTGAGGTGCTCTGGAATTCCCATTCTTCTCAAGGTTATCCACAGTTAACATTATGGTCCACACAGTTGAATGCCTTTACATAGTTAATGAAACACAAGTAAACATCTTTCTAGTATCCGCTGCTTTGAGCCAGGATCCATCTGACATCAGCAATGATATCCCTTGTTCCTCGTCCTCTTCTGAATCCGGCTGAATTTCTGGCAGTTCTCCGTCAATGTACTGCTGCAACCATTGTTGGGTGATCTTAAGCAAAATTTTACTTGCGTGCGATATCAATAGTATTTTTTTGTGGCAGTTACATCGTCTCCTGTGAACTTGAGTGAAGGGGTAGAGTCTAGCTTGTCAGTCAGGGCTTAGCCAATGAGGCCTCTGTGTGGGCATGGCCTTCTGAGGTTTCTGGGAATTCCTGTCTTCCTCCCTCGAGGCATGGCACACACTCTCTGTTCCAGCTTCCTGTTGACAAGCCACATGGAGCCATGCTGAACCCTGGAGATGCTTCCATCACCACTTTCCACCCACAGGCCTGCGATTTTCATTCAGTATCATTGCATGTGTTGCATGAGTCTGAAGAAGAATTTATAGACTGGTATCGGACATATGGGCTAATATCGGACTTATGGACTTGATCTGGACTGGGCTGGGATGTTTCCTTAATTTACAATTACTCTTTGAAATAAAACTCTCACAAACACATATGAGTATCTCTGGATTTGTTTCTCTAGTCAATCCAAACGAACACACTGTTCCATAATTTGAGCACTCAGTTGGGTCACCTTACTTTGGAATGGGCACAAATATGAATCTCTTCCTGTCAGTTGGCCAAGTAGCTTTCTTCCAAATTTCTTGGCACAGACCAGTGAGTGCTTTCAGTGCTGAAACATTTCAATGGGTATTCCATCAAACCCAGGAACCTTGACACGTGATAGGTGTTTAGTATATATTTGTTGAATAAATGAGTGAATCATGGCTTCTGTCTCCCTTGCTACAGTGATGGGGTCAGAGTAAGACAATCCTAAAGGGAAAAGAGGCCCACAGTAGAGACAGAGGACTCTCTTGGTCCCAATTCTTTTGACGGAGACTTGGCTCTAACAGGTTCGATTAGAGCTGATAATAATTAGGGTTACCATTGAAAGAGCATATGCACTGTAGCAGGTTCTTTACACACACATCTCGTTTAATCTCAACAATGCTAGAAGATCGTTATGGTCTCTGTTTTACAGATGCCCAAGTCTGTGACTCCGTAGGCATTGCCGATGTTGTATGACAATAAGTGGCGGAGCCATATGCTTCTAGCCAACTGCACAAGAAACAGCTCTCCTTAGTGCCACTTACAGCGATCGTCCCAAGACAACTCCCAGGATGACCGGGTCTCAGTTTACCCCAGTTATGAAATCTGCTCCCAATTACCTTGTCTTTAGGGACAGCTACCCAGTTGTTCAGAGCGATGCGTAGGCCCAACAGCGTCTCCATTCTGAGGTCTTCATTTTGCCCCTTCAACTGGTGCATGAGGACCTGGATCACGTACTTGTTCAGGCAGCCTGCACAGGAAAAGGCTTCAAGTCAGGGCAGAGCCTCCGGGCTGCTTCTCCCTCCCACGAGTCATTTGACTCCATTCAGACCTCAAGTGTGGTCCAAGTCCTGGGCCCCCAGGCGTGGCCCTTCTTCCCTGGACACTGGAGCAGCAAGCTGAGCACCAGCACACTTTTAGAAGGCTTCCATCTCCATCCTTGACAATCTCCTCTTTTTTTTCACCCCACCTTTCTTTTTCTGCCCAGCAGGAAATAGGATAGCTCCCCAAACCAAACCAACCCATGCACCAACAAAAACCCACCCATCCAACTCACTGCCACCGAGTTGATGCTGATCCTGGTGACCCTGTAGGACAGGGTAGAACTGCCCCGGTGGCTTTCCAAGACAGACACTCTTTACGGGAATAGAAAGCCTTGTCTTCAAAGAAAGCCTTGTTCTCCACCCGGAGAGAGGATGTACTCACCCAGGAGGGCCAGGGTTCGACAGGCCTCGAACTTCACTTTCTCTGCACCAGTTTTGGCCTGATGTAGGAGGCAGGTAGTGGAAACACACCATAAGGTGAGTGACTGTCAGAGGCTTAGGATTCAACTCAGCCTAACGTTTTCCATTTTGTGGGTGCGAAACCTGTCTACGCTCAAAGCACAGGCAGGATGGCGCAATGGGAGCCACCCTGGACTGGACCGGACTTTCATTCCCATCCCTGGAGCTGCTGGTTAGTAGCCAACGGTCTTGGGCAGGTCACCTGGCATCTCAAGGATTTCCCGTTCTCAGTAGAAGCGTGCATATTCCATTCAGAATGCGATTAGGCGCGTCACGTGACATGGGCTGCACTTTTGTGGGCATGACGACAGTAACCATTTTTTGGGGTCTGGAGTAAGCGTGCTATCAAGTAAACCAACATAGCGCTCAGCTTCCTTTAAACCTAAATGGGATTGTGGCTAAGAGAGCATGCTCCTGGTGACCAATGGGCACAGCAGCCTGGGGCACTGATTCAGAGGTAGAGAATAAATTCAGCCCGGCTCCTGCCTGGCTTTCAGTCTGGACGTTTGTGTTGGGCCAAGGGCATCGCCAGATTGTCCCTTTCCCACCCTTTCCCATCCTGCTCTTGGCAGAAACCCAGGGTCTGATGGGGGTGGGGGCCATGCTACCTACTCATAGTTCTCTCTCTCTGCATCCTGGGCCTGACCAACATCTCTGCAGCAGCGGAGGGTGGCCCGTTCTGCACCCACATGCCTCTCCTCTGTGCCCTTCGCACCCTGCTTGCCCCTGCCCCGATCTCCACGCAGCTGCAGACTCACCACCGCCCATAGCGCCTCCATGATCACTTTGTCACTGATGCCCAGGCACCCCAGAGCCTGCAAGCACAGGGAGCGAGGGAAACAAGCAGGAGGCCCTGAGTACCCGCTCCCCGGCCCTGGGGTTAGCATCTTCGAAGGCACAGCCAGCACTGGTCCTTTGACTATGACTCCCCCGCCCCCATGTCAGGCGCCTCTTCACCGTCTAGCTCAGCCAGCTCCTTCCTGTCCCCACCCTCCACCACTCCCGCCACGTCCCACCTGAGCGGCATAGAGCTGCTCTTCTTCTCGGGGAGACTTCAGACTCTGCGTGAGCTCCTGTCGGTCCCAGGCAGCAGTGAGAAAGAAGAAAGGGAGAAATCCAGACGTGCAGACTGAAAGGCGCGCCTCCACTTCCATCCCATCCCTACCCTCCCTCCACTGTACAGGTAGGGACTGAGGGCTGAGGGATTGTGGGACCCCAGGGAAGGGCACCCCTGGGGAGGGAGCTTCCCCAGCCCTCCCATCATGGCACCTGACCTTTAATCGTTGACACTTCAAGGCGGACAAGGTAGACCTTGAGGGCCTGGATCCCACCTGAGAGTTGGGCAGGAGTTTGGTCAGGGGGACATGAAGTTTTTGGAATTCAGGCATCTCTCTGAGACCCCTGTGTGAGAAATGGCAGAATCTGGCTCCCTTCCTCCTCCCCTCCCTAGGTCACCACCTGTGCTCCCCATGGACTGCACATCAGCCCAGCTCAGGGAGGGCACCGAGGCAGCCGCCCAAACCGGATGCCCTGTACCCCAGGCTCCCCTTCGGGACCTGGCGGCTGATTTGCCCCACCTCTCTCTCCTTGAGGGTCTGGGGAGCTCAGGGTGGGCAGAGCACACACCTTTCCTGATCCTGCATTTTCCGAAACAAGATCTTCGGGCTCTCCCGCTCCCTCTTCGGGTCATAGAAAGTGTGCCAGTGGGAGTAGATCTCTGGTTTCTGGGAGTAGCAGTAAGGCACTGCATGCAGCCTGCTCTGGTGCTGCCGCCAGACCTCGGGACTTGGGGGGTACTCCTCCTTCGGCATCTAGGGGTGGCAGTGGCAGAACATAGCTTTTAGCCTGTGCCCCTGGGACCCTGATGTGGGTGCCTGGTGTAGCCACAGGCTGGGTGGGAGATGCTGTGCAGCCAGTCCTCTCTGCACAGGCACCCCCCACCCCCCACCCCCCGACCCAACCTCCTGGTTATTCACTCCACCAAGATTTCTATCTGCTCTTCATGCCAAGGAAGTGAAACCTTGCCTGTGTCCCTTCCAAGGTTATGTGAGGATCCAAAGAGAGGCGGCTTGTGAAACCATTGATGGGCTATCGGCTGCTCTGTACAAAGTTGGTGGAGGGTTCAAAGCCCCTTGGGATGGCACAGGACAGCCGAGGGTGGATGGGATGTAACATGAAGACGGGAACAGATGGACCACTCATCATTCAGGAACCAGCAGACTTTCACGGAGTACTTACTATGTGCCAAGAGGGAGCCCGGGGGCACAGCGGTTCTGGTTCTAGCGCCCAGCTGCCTAAAGGAAGGTTGGCGGTTTGAAGCCACCAGCCCCCTGGGGGGGAGGGAGATGTGGTCATCTGTCTCCAGGAAGGTGCACAGCCTGGGAGAGCCTGTGGGGCGGCCCCACTCTGACCTGGAGGTTGTCATTCACTCGGTGATGATGGGTTTGGGTTTTGTTTCGACCCCTGTACCAAGCACTGTGTGAGGCCCCGGGCGTGCGGTCATCTCCCTGCCCACAGGAAGCTTCTCAGAGTGTCTTAGTTGAGAAAGCGCCCTTCCTCTTGACATGAGCTCAGTTGTGGGCCAGCAGCTCCAACTAGTGGGGGTTTGGGGGTGAGTCAGGAGTTGTTCAGGACTCCTCCCTGCCCCTTTCTCAAGCTGCGCCATCCTGACTCCACTGAAAGAGGCGCTTCAGCCAAGGATTCCCCAGCTGCTAACGGAAACCACAGTATTCAGGGTCCGCGGGACATTGTCAGGACTTTAGAGACTGGAGACTCACGGTGCGTAGGGCTGTCAGATGTCGTAACAAACCCACCAACCCCAAATGGCACGCCAGGTACACATGGATTTCAGGAGATGGAGACAACATTTGGAATAGAACTATATGACCAAAAAAATCATTCATTGTTGATCTGAAATTCAAATCGAACTGGACAGCCTATCTTTTATTAGATCACTGTGACAGCAGAGAAGAGGGACCCTGTCATTACTCACTGCCCAGATAGGGTTCTGTACAGGGCACTGTATAGGGAACCATATAGGGTTCTGTATAGGGAACCGTATAGGGCTCCCCAGGGTCAGAGTGGACTTGACGGCAGGGAGCTCTTCTTCATTTTTGTCCTTTGGTGTAGCTCAGACCTGAGGGGCACTCTCTCGACAGTAGCCCTACAAAGACGAGATTGGCCTGTGGCAGGCGGCTCCTCAGGCACATAGGAACGGTGACTGTGCAAGTTCACAGAGTGAACGTCCAGCTCCCCAGAGTGAATGCCGGGGTTCTGCCAGCTGGCCTTAGTGGGTGGGCACAGTCTGCTGGGCCCTCTCACTCTAACTGCATTCCCAGGGTGGTCACACAAAGTGTCTTACCTGGTAGCAGGATAAGGGCAGGTGAACGATGGCGGTGGCTCTTCTGTGTTCTGGGGGACAGAGAAGGGCGTGGGAGAGCAAATGCAAAGGTTGGCTAGAGAATCATTTATTCAGAAATTCATGTCTTCATCACATCACGTCAGATCCCCAAATGGATTTGGGCTATTGCTCTCTCTTCAGGGAAAAAATTACTTAGTGCCTCCGCCTGCCCTCCCCTGGGACTAAGAATCATTAATACTAGAGCCCATAATCTTAGATAAAGGGTAGGTATCTGCTCTCGAAGCCTCCTGGATCATTCCAGCATCACCCGCCCCCCCCTTCCCCCCAGGGGCGGTATCCCCTACTTTGGGAAACACTGAAGGTGGCAGGTATTTCACCAGGCACCAGGAAGGTAATTCTGGCCCTTTAGAGGCTCATTGTCTTCTAGAACTTAGTGCTTGACACATGGTCTAGGGACCAGCAGCCCCTCAGCTCGGTCGGGGGGTGGGGATCCCAGAAACGCAGACTCCCAAGCTCCACCCTCAATCATCGAGGCTTTTCCTACCTTGGTGACCCCAGAGGACAGAGTAGAACTGTCCCATAGGCTGCTGGCCCAGCGGCTGGTGGGTTTGACCTGCCAGCCACTTCTAATCCAAGTGCTTTAATAAGTGCAGACCCCACTGGCTCCACCCCAGACCTACAGAATCCAGACCCTCACTTTCAAAAGAACCCCAATGGATTCCTATGCGTGTTGAACTTTGAGAAGCCCTCAGGTGGCAAGGTGGGTTTCAGCCTGTATATTAGAATGCTCTGGGAGAACTTTTAACCTGCCTCGACGAAACCCAAACTCACCGGCACCGAGTCATTCTGATGCAGAGAAACCCTACAGAGCAGGTTAGAACAGCCCTGTGGGTTTTTGAGACTGTCAGCCTTCCTGGGAGTAGAAAACATCATCTTTCTCCCATGGAGCGGTTAGTGGTTTAGAGCTGCTGACCTCGAGGTTGGCAGCCCAATGCATAACCACTACACCGCCAGGGCTCCTTAGGCTCTGGCAATCTGCTCCCATAAAGCAAACCCTATGAGACAGTTCTGCTCTGTCACAGTGGGTCGTACGACTTAAAAATTGACCTGTAGGTAGCCAACAACCACTTTAGTCTAACGGGATCAGATTCTCCGAGGCGGGCTTACAAGACACCCAGAAGATTCTAATGGGCATCAGAGGCTGAAAGCTACTGGCTTACTTCAGCATTCCTCGACTTTAAATGTGCATTAGGATTGCTTGGGGAGCCTTTGGAATACATATCTCTGGGACCCATCCCTGGGGTTCCTGATTTAGTAGATCAGGGGTGGGCTCTGAGAATCAGCATTGCTGGGGGGTGAGGAGGTCCCTGAGCGGCACAAAAGGTTTATGGCCATGTTTGCCTAACAGTCAGCATGTTGAACCTACGTGAGAGCACCACGGGAGAAAGGCCTGGCAGTCTGTTTCCGTGAAGATTACAGATAGGAAAACCCTGTGCAGTGGTGGCGGTGGCTCTATTTTAAAACACACGGGGTCACTAGGAGCAGCAATCGACTCTCACAATGGTTTTTGTTGTTGTTGTTTGTTTGTTTGGGGGCCTGGGCAGGGACCATACTTAGAGAACTACCTGCCTGGTTGGTGAGGTAGACAGGTGAATTTGTAACAGAGGAAGTCAGGGTGGGGCTGGTGTTACAGGTGCAGGATAGGGATCAGAGAGAGTATCCCAGAAGAAAGACTACTAGTGGGAGTCCGTGAGACCAGTGGGAGTCCGTGAGATCGCCGGGGATGGGGGGTGGGGGTAGGG